TTATATTCAATGGTTCTCGAGTAATCGATTAAAAATTCTTTTAACGTCCGATCTTTGAAGCATCGGAGGAGCCTTAGAAAACTTGCTAAATCGCTGTTACACTGTGTATAAACTTATGTAAATATTAAATGATTAATTTTTATAAACTTAAGGGAAGGAGATAGCTTTCGGAATTGGAACTTCTACCATTGCCAAAGATCCCATTAATTTTATTACCTTCCAGAGGTAGATAAGCACACACTCTAGATTTTATCAATAAAATCAAGGAAATCCAACTAGATCGTCAGGATATCTTATTGAGTTTTGTTGCGACATCATTGTTAAAAACGCCAATTTAGTCTATAATTAATTAATTAATTCTTTGGAAGATCTTCATTGAAAACTCTGATCTCATTAGTACAGCAACACAATGACTTCGGTAACACAATAAAAGAATACATTTGGACATCAACTTCAACCTAGAGTTGGAAGAAAATTGCGCTTTTCAATTCGTAGATATCCTTATTAAAAAGATTAAGAAGAAAAAGAGGAATATGCCACAATAACCCTTCTTCTCTAAGTACAGGGTTAGTGGCTATAATCTGACAACTTATTGTGAGTTTATTATTGAAATTACAAAAAAGTTTTTAATACAAAAGTTTTAGCTTTTTTATGATTTTTTATAATATCACTAAATTAAAGAAAAATTTTTTTAATGGAACTCCCTATGTATTAGTGTATATTTAGCTTTGTTAAATTTTTCTCTTTTCAAAAATATATAATACGTTACTGTTTGATTCAAGAGTTCATATTTCAGTTTAAAACTATTTTTGAAAAAACAGGAGGAAAATTTGTCTGACGGATCGCAGTGGCTTTGGTCGAGGCACGCGGAACAAACAAATGACTTTGACAGAAGTTTATTTATCGTCATAAATTTATTTCCTATAACAAACTATTTTAGCAAAGAAATAATGTTTAGTGAGGACGAAAAGTTATCCGTTTATTTTACAAGAATAATAATAATGTGAATGCAGCGCGCGCCGAGTGTGCTCGTTTGCATCCCGGGTTTCCAATTCCATCTGGAGCTGCATTTTGCGACATTGAGCGACGCTTTAGATAAACAAAATCTCTTGCATAGTCCAATTAACTAAGCCTTTAAATCGAAATTTTGTCAACTTGGCTGAATTTTTGATATGAGTTAGTTTAAGGTATATTATAACAATAAGTGAGAGTAATTTTTTGTTCAACCCCCGGCCAAGGGTGGAAAAAGATAAAACAAAGGGCTTTTTCAAGATAACTCAAAAAGGGTAAGAGCTAGAAAAAAAAGTTTTTCATGAAAGTTGTAAAGCAGACAATTCTACATAAAAATGGCCTCTTAACTTTTTCTTGTACTATTACAATTAACAGAGTTAGGGAGGCTAGAAGTTAAGGGAAGATTTCAGAAATTTAAAAAAAATCATAACAAACAGAAAAATGATTGAATTTTGTAATTTTTTTTTTCAATCTGCTCTAAAATATGTAACTTTTCTTTTCAGAGAAATAGATATATTTTTTAATTTTTAATAAGAAAGTTATAACAAAAAATCAAATTTTTAATCGTTAATTTTAATGATTTAACAAAATTAAATTTCTGAAATCTTCCCTTAACTTCTAGCCTCCCTAACTCTGTTAATTGTAATAGTACAAGAAAAAGCTAAGAGACCATTTTTATGTAGAATTGTCTGCTTTACAACTTTCATGAAAAACTTTTTTTTCTAGCTCTTACCCTTTTTGAGTTATCTTTAAAAACCCCTTTGTTTTATCTTTTTCTACCCTTGGCCGGGGGTTGAACAAAAAATTACTCTCACTTATTGTTATAATATACCTTAAACTAACTCATATCAAAAATTCAGCCAAGTTGACAAAATTTCGATTTAAAGGCTTAGTTAATTGGACTATGCAAGACAAATTAGAACTAACTATATTACTATATTTTCAAGGTAAGCAAATGTTCATTCGAGGTTTACCATGGTAAATGCAAATATTAAATTATTGTAGAAAGGCCACAAGAGTCCACATTAAATGCTTCAAGACAGTTAGAAATAAACCAAAGTAAAATTATTAGAACGTTACATAAATATAAATACCGCCCCCTATAAAACTATGCCGGTTCAAAAATTCACCCAAAATCAAAAAATTCAGGCTGCTTCGCTTGAAAAATGGCGACCTAAACTATTTTTAAAAGATTTTATGTACTGATCATTGGCCCACTATTTTATGAAGGTGCTGCTTCGACTGGGGAAATATACCTGCATCTTCTTGAAAATCAAATAGAAAACAAATTGAAAGACCTGCCGCTGATCGACTATACCAATTTAATTTGGCACCAAGACAGAACGCCTCCGCATAGATCCAGAGCAGTACGAAATTATCTAAATAATAGGTTTGATTGTGGATTGGTAATGGAGGAAATATTCAATGGCCTTCAAATAGCCCAGACCCTACACCCTTGGACAGTTTTCTGTGGGGTTACTTAAAAAACGAGGTTTATAAGGAAACTAGTGTAAACTTAGGTGAACTAAGGCATAAAGTTGAGAGATGTAGGCATACAAAATTTAAGTGAATTTAATTCCCATTTAATACTAAATGGAGTTCTGAAAATTAATGAGGATTATACGAAGTGCATCAATAATAATGGCGGTCATATTGAGCATCTGTGACTATTTGTGTGTTTTTTATTAATTAGGTATTAAAATTCTGTTAAACTTAAAACTTGTTAAAGTTAAACTTGATTTTTATTATTATCATAAAATGAACGGATAACTTCAAATTTTTCGTTCTCATTAAACATTATTTATTTATTAAAATAGTTTGTTATAGAAAATAAATTATTGATGATAAATAAACTTCTGTCAAAGTCATTTGTTTGTTCCGTGTGCCTCGTCCATAGCCACTGCGATCCGTCAGACATAAATTTCCCTCCCGTTTTTTCAAAAATAGTTTTAAACTGCAATATGTCGAAAAAGTCCTGAATTTTTAAAAGAGAAAAAAAATAAATTTTCTTTAATTTAGTGATTTCCATTATTCAATTGTTTTTTTCTAATACTGTATTATAAAAATTCATCAAAAAAGCTAAAACTTTTGTATTAAAAACTTTTTGTAATTTCAATAATAAACTCACAACAAGTTGTCAGATTATAGTGACTACCCTGTACAATGATATAAAAATAGGATAGACTCTCTCTTGAGAAGTACAATTAGTAATACAGTCTACAACATTTCAAGGAAGATAGGTTCAACCTTTTCCAAGTCGAGCTGCAAGAAGGATTTACTCCAAGGTTGACAAACGTTAGCACGAGGATAAAAACGTACGTCACCTAAAGTATAATAATGGAAAAAACATCGGCAGTTGCGGAGTACATGACAGATACAGGACTTGCGATGGAGATATTGGTCAAGATTCTACAGAGCAGCAGAAAAAATCCAGAAAAATCTAAATAATTTCAACCGCGACAAGTGCTTAGAACTAACTAGACTTTGGAAAGGACTCAGCCTTAAAAATTAAGGATCAAGTGTGTTTCTTATGTATTTTGATACTCTGAATTCGAGTCTGAAGTCTATTAGCTGTATGCCCCGTAGATTTTGCAAAGAAATAGCTGAAAATGGCAAAAAATCATATTATTGAGAGTGAGAAAATTTAGAAAGAGGTTTTCTAGATTGGTTCAAGTGTTTTTCTCATAAATTTTGTCGATTCGAATTTTAATTACCCAAAAATTTTGCAAAAATCGCAAAATATCGCAAAAAAATGGAAACTGTGAATCCCAAAAAATCTTGAATGAATGTCATGGGCATGAATTACTTCCAAATAAATTCCACTGACTCAAACCAGGTTTTTTTTTGATGTTGCTCTTTCACTTTTCTTCTTCGAAAGACCTTTGCTGCGGGCTTCTCTTTCGCTTCTGTCTATTCTGATCCGTTTCTTTCTTTAGTGTCCAACAGAAATCTGCCGTCATGTTGATATTTCATCTTTCTTGGTACTAATTCTCCATTTCTTATATCTTGATGGAATCTTCCTCCTTGTTGTTCACTGCAGTCTTCAAGGCTTTCAGGAAAGTAGTCAAGGTGAGAGTGTAGGAAGGGCAATTTAAAATTCATCAAGCAACCTAACTGTTTGAAATTTTTCAACATCTCTTCAAACAAACTTTCGTAATACCCACTCTTCTGATTTCCTAAAAAGTTCCGAGAGATATTCTTGAAACTTTGCCATGCTGATTTTTCAGTGTCATTCATCCTTGTAAAGAAATTCTCGTTTCGAAAAAGAGTACGAATTTGAGGACCATCAAAATACTTTCTTTCAATTTCGCATCACTTATCGCTGGAAACTACTCGCCTGATCCTGAATATTGAAAACAATCACGTCTTTGTCCAGAACTTTGACATACTGCTTCATGAGACCAAGCTTGATATGAAGAGGCGGTAGTAGAATTTTTTAAGGTTCAATCAGTGGTCTATGTATGATGTTCCTCGACTCTGGATTGTCCACTCTTTCTGTACGTAGTGATTTTTCCCATAAACGTAAGAAGCAGGGATATTTTGTGAAACCTGATTGCTGGCCCATGATCATGGTTGCAATTTTTAGATTTTAGTTTATTTTCTCCAACACTGTCTGCAAATTCTCGCTATTTTTGGTGATTTTCCGCTATTATTTTGTGATTTTTGTAAATTCTGAGGGAGATGCAGCTTAAAATACTTCAGATTTGGATTCAGCACATCAAAATACATAAGAAACTTACTGGACCAAGTTCAGAACAATTTTTTTCGATTTTTTTGGACTCACTAAATGATTTCAGCGAATTTTCACAATTTTTTGCCAATCACTCAAAATTTTGGGGGTGTTCCAGCTAAACGGACTTCAGATTCGAATCCGTCAAAGTACATAAAACCTATTGGGTCAAAACAAAAGTACAGACCATTTTTTGTGTGTTACTGTTGGACGCCAAATGAATTTATGATATAACTGATTCATATTAAAAAAAGTCTACCTTGCGGAACAATTTCGGGATCATGTCTCTTCGGCGGTAACAGAAAATCGAGCCTGGAACTCTGCCACACCATTGGAAAGCCGTCCGTGTCTAAAGTAACCTCACACTTGTATTCCCCAGACGACTTGGTGGTCAAAACGATCAGCGTCAAAGGACAAGCTCCCACCGAGGCAGATCGTGGATGGAGAACCATAACCCCATCGACTTCAAATTCGTTGACGGTGCCATCACCCGCACACCTGAAGAACTGCTGGCCATCTTTGTACCATTTCACGTCGTACAATTTTTTGCCTTCCACGTCATACTTGCAGTCGATCTCTACCTGATTGGATGCCCTTCGAGGTACGTAGAAGTTGGTTAACCTCAGCAGGTCTACCATATGAATATTGATCGTCACTGTAACTAAAAATACAAATTGTTTCGTGACATTGTCGCATTGGGTCTGCTAGCAGCATCATCAAACAAGAAGGCAATAGAACAGATCCTTAAAAAAAATATACGTTTTTCATAATTTTGTACTATCTTTACTTATTTAACTTAAACCAATTTCAGAAACTGTATTCCCAATTTTCTTTTTACTGTTCAAATTGGTCTGCCCTGATTTTTTTTTCTTGTACAGCAGTCCAACGTCCCCAAAACCCTAAAAATTGATTTGACTTTTTGACAAATCTGCTGCAATTTGTACATGTACATGAATATTTGAAACACTGTCATATAAATTTATTAAGAGTTGGCTTCTAGATGATCGTGATGAGTTATTATGAGTTATGCTTTATGTTGTAAAGGAATAAAGGTTATTTGCACTTCTGTCTTAAAGTGGTCAAACCTGTAGACCAAAGTATTGAAATGTTGATAGAATTCCAACCTTAGAAATATTAAACCCTGTTGAAGATGTAAGTAGGTATAGAATTCACAGCAAATATAAAAATTTTCCCTTATAAATTCGTATGCAATTATTATTAACGGTTTAGAAGTTGTGAGTTGTGAAAATTAAAATTGTTTTGGCATTAGCTTCGACAGGCATGAACATTTTTTGGTAATTTTTTAGTTATGTAATAAAGCCAATAAATTATACTTTTTTATGAAAGTTTCCAATTAAAAAATTGAGGCGTAGAAAGGGAAATTTCTAACCTATTTCTTCACAATACTGAAAATGATGATGATTATGTAAAAATCGACTAAATTAAATGTTCAAATTGTGCACCGTTGGCTGCCTGACAGTAGCCAAGACGATTAATAAATTCTTTTTGGACATTATCAATAACTTCAGGAGGTATACGATGTATCTCGTGACGAATTCTTGCTTTTAAATCTTCTAAATTAACCGGTCTAGTAACGTATACTTTGCTTTTTAAGTATCCCCACAAGAAATAGTCTAGGGGTGTCAAATCAGGCGATCTAGCTGGCCACTCAATCGGCCCCCTTCTCCCTATCCAACGATTCGGGAACAGCTCATCTAAATATGCACGGACAGGTGTTGCATAATGGGGAGGTGCACCATCTTGTTGAAAGAAAATGTCATTTCTTGGAAGATCATGTCCCTCTATATCTGGATATAAAGTTATTAGTTCAGGAATGAGGTCGTCTCGAAGAAAATCCAAATATCTTGCACCAGTTAGGTTGACGTCAAAGAAATGGGGACCCAGAATTCTTCCGTCGACTATACCGCACCACACATTTACTTTCTGGGGACTTTGAGTGTGATACCCATCATCCATCGAGGATTCTCGGTAGCCCAATAACGGCAGTTTTGCCTATTGACATGGCCGTTCAAAACAAACGTAGCCTCGTCAGAAAAAAATACGTGTTTTACGATATTATTATCATTATTGCATAGCTCTTGCATTTGCTCGCAGAATTGATTACGCCGATCAAAGTCGTCTTCAGATAGCTCATGAACAAGGCATACCTTATAAGGATGATACTTTGCTTTTTTCATAATTTTGTGAACTGTGGACGCTGCCATATTGAAATCAGAAGCCAATTGGTTAAGTGTTGAGTGATGATTTTCTTGTATTGCCAACAAAACATTAAGCTCATCATCTACTGATTTTGACGGTCGACCAGATTGAACATGTCCAAAGTTACGGTATTTAGACTTAATATTGCTTACCATGCTTTGGCTAATGGGATGTCGATCAGGATGAGCTTCATTGAACAATCAATTCAACTACTTCTTTTTGGGGTGCGCATCCTGTCTCCAAATCCGATCATGCAAAGAATTTCAATTCGTTCTCGTTCAGTTAATTTAACCATTTTTTTTATAAAATGACAAAGTTACTACTCAATAAACACTTCAAACGCACTGCTTTTGCCAAACAAAAGATAAGAACTAAAGAAATAACTCAAAAAACGAAAAAAACTATTTAATAAAGTACGATTTCAAGTTTTTATCTGACAGCAATAAAAAACATTCTCGGTCGCTAGGGCTACTGTCAGGCAACCATGATTTTTGACGATGCGTATGTAGAATGACACGCTCTTTCAAATGGCATGGTCAAAATTGGGGGTTGCTATTTAAAAAAATTGTCGATGACGTCATATCTCGAACAACGATGACGTCACAAATATGGGTCGTATGTCAAAAAGTGCCTTTTTTAAAAACAAAATCGACGTGCCAGGGGATTTTTTCGAAAACTTCTCAATTTAAAAAATAATGAATTTATTCCTTACTTTTCGAAAGCACTGTATAAAAGACAGTTTGTAGATATATCTTAAGTTTCCTACTCCAATTCACCATTAAATAATTTTTTATAAAGTTTTTTATGGAAAAACGCATTTTTTAGTTTTTTGCTTATAAAACCTAAACTAACGAAGCAATCTAAATGCTATAATGATACAATTTGTAGAGAATCGAAATACAAATAAAACGAGAGGTCGATCGATCCGATCAGATAATTAGAAGCAAAGAAGACCAGGAAAAATCTTAAAATTTAGCGTTTTTGTAAAAATGCATTAGTCCGTCATTTTTTAAGTTGTAGAGCTGACTCTGTGCACAAAAGTAGAGAATTATATCGACGCTTTAGTACGAAAACATGTTATCTCAGATTTCGGTTGGAAAACATGCTATCTCAAATTTCAGTTGGAAAACATGCTATCTCAAATTAAGCTTGGAAAACATGCTAACTCAGATCTTTAGGTAAAAACATGCTATCTCAGTGTGACTAGAAATTTAAGTTGGCACATTGAATGATTGAAACCGTGCATTTATAATAAACTTATATAATATAACGAGCGTTCAAATAAAAACGTGGTCAAGTTGGTTCTGAAAATTTGGACGTAGGGCGTAGCGTATACCAAATGAACTTAAACGTCATCTGTCAAAGCGCTATATCGCCGCTATCAATTTGAATATTTTCGTTTTAAAAAGCGTTTAAAATGGTGTTTTCTCAAGAACAAAAAGTGTTTATCATAGAGTCCTACTTTAGAAATAGACGCAAGATTGATGGAATATGGAAGTATTCTATTGAGGAATGTTTCATAGAATTTCAAAATCAATTTCCCGGCGTTGTTGAGTACAAAATTTTTCAAAGAGCAGTTCAGCGTTGTGTTAATGTTTTTCGTGAAACGGGCAGTGTAACAAGAAAAGAAGGAAGCGGCCGACCTAAAAAGCGGACTGAAGAATTAAAAGAAAATGTCCAACAAATAATGGAAAATGCGCCAAGAACTTCTGTACGTGTTTTATCACAAATGGTGGAAGTATCAGTCGGTACCTGCCACACAGTGTTAAAAAAAGATTTGCGTTTGTTCTCCTATCGTTTAACTTGTCAGCAAAAACTTCATGAAGTTGATTTTCCGCGACGGGCTGTATTTTGTGAATGGTTTTTAAACAACTACGGTGAACTTCATAATATCACCTTTTTTTCTGATGAAGCCTGGTTTCATTTAAGTGGTTACGTAAACTCACAGAATATGAGAATGTGGTCTTCTGAAAAACCAGATAACTTTTTTGTCGAGGGCCCTCTTCACGCTCAAAAAATTGGAGTTTGGTGTGCTCTCAATCGAAGGAGGATTTATGGACCTATTTTTTGGCTACAAGATGGCGCAAGGGCACATACGGCAGGCGAGACGATGAATATGTTGAGGGAAATTTTACCAAAATCGACTAATAAGTCTCAATGTTGAACATGAATTTCCACCGAGGTCATATGATATTACGCCGTGTGATTTCTTTTTGTGGCCTTACCTTAAAAACACTATTTTTGAACTGCCTATTCCTGATTTAAACCATCTGCAGGCTCGACTTATAGACAAGATTCGTGAAATTAACAATACCCCGAGCATCTTAGAAAATGTCTTTAATTCTTTGAGGAACAGGTGTGAAAAGTGCTTGGAACAAGGAGGGGGACACTTTCAGCAGCTGCTTTAATTTATTGTTATAACAAGGAGAGGGACACTTTCCGCAGCTCCTTTTATTGTTTGTTATTGTTATCATGATTATTCTTTAAAATAAAGTTAGTTATATAGTTATTAACGTTACTGAAACTGACAGCTGCTATACAGCTCGTTGAGAAATGAGGTTAAGTTGGTCATAAGCTACTCCCTACGTCCAATGTGTCAGAGCCAACTTCGACCACGTTTTTATTTGAACGCTCGTTATTTTTAAGAAAGTAAGGAATGTTTATGTTCAGGTACACTGTTTATTTTATTTTTTTTATTCAACATTTTTCAATTAATTTTGTTAAGTTACTGTTATAAACGACAAAATTTTTAATTAAAAAAATAGAATAATATGCAATATGCTGCAACACGTACCTTACTCGACGTATTTTGAAATAACAAATTATAAAAAAATAGTGTATACCTTAATATATAAAAATGTTTGTTATTACCAAAAATTATTCGATTTTTTTCATACAAGTTTGCCTTGATATCAAAATTAATAGCGTACTCTTATCTGATTTATAGTCGCCACTCTTGATACACTTATTTTTCTTTTTCACAAAATCTGGGATGCACAATTTATTCTGAAAATAATTTTGTATGCCTAAGGAAACTGCAATAAAAAGAATTATATAGTGGACCAGGTTAGGCCCCAAACTCCGGGTCCGAATCGTTCTTACTGCACCTCAATAAAAACAAGGTAGCCGCGTCCTTGCATAGACTTTGGAAATGAAATGCAGATATGCGACACTTTTATTACCGGTACTTCATGATCTGCTGATGATAAACATGTGTGCATGGGGAATCCCGGAAATGTGCACGTGCAAATCATATGCGCCCGTCGCGTCAATACATGTATACATATCATTCAACTTTATACATTATATTTATATTCTGGTTATTGTCTTAACTCTATTAACAAAAGTAAGAGTAGTGACTATAAATCAGGTAAGAGTGCTCTATTAATTTTTGTAATAACAAACATTTTTATATATTAAGGTATACACTATTGTATTTAC